TGACCAAAGAGATAGAACAGTGGCCTGGAAGTTCACATAGTTCTGTAACAAAGTGCTGTGTACCTTTGGCTAAGACTCTTCTCCTTTTTTGACAACACCTGTCAAGTCTGATGGCTAAGTTGGATGTTAAAGACCACTCTCAAATTCTACAACAAACTTCCCAACAGTCTCTGGTGCTATATCTTCCATCCCCAGGTGCTCAAGCCCCTGTCCTGGGGAATGGGCAGGGATGGTACTCACCCTGGCCTGTCTGACATCTGCGGCCACTCTCAAAGGAGAAGAGGTTAGAGTCATAGCCATAGCGTCGCAGGCAGAGGTAGGGCCAGCGGACAGCTTCCCTCCGCTGCAGGTGCAGCACCAGCTCACTCTGTGTCAGCTCCATCACCCCTGAGCCCAATTCTACCCCCTCATCATCCACATTGGTCACCTGGAGGGGAGGGGACAGAAAGGTCAATGAGTGAGTCCAATAAGAGTGTGCAGGACCCTGAGCCACCAGGATGCAGTTTTTCAGGCAGGAGTTGGGAGACTTCAGGGTATTACCTAACTCCACCCAGACAATGTCTGAATGCCACAGTCACTGGGGATATACAAACAGAGCCGGGTACATGGCAATTATCTGGGCAACCCCCTCCTCTATGGGACTTAGTTATGTCATCTGAACAGAGAGAAGAGGGAAATAGTTGACCCCCAAGGTCAGTGGTTAGATGACCAGGGTTAAATAATCCCGGAGAGTCCACGGCTTGGTATCCAAAGGCCAGACATTTATAACGAAAGGGTTAAACTGTAAGTTCAAATTCTTAAGATGTCAGGAATATCAAGCCAAAGGCAGAAGAAATACATACTGCCTCTACTTCCCCAACTGTGTGACCTTGCTAAGGGCTCCCTCCTCTGGTAGGCAGAGAAACATGCTTCAACATGCCCCAAAATGTCCCAGTGTGGGGAGGAGGCGCCCCCTTCAGGAAGGGGTCAGGGGACCTTGGCCCAAGGGAGTTTGGCTTTAGCTTCAAAAGGCAAACAGCAAACTGATACAAGGCTTATCATGTGCTAAGCATTACTTAACCCATTAAGTCCCAAGTTTCCTATTCTGCAAATATTACCATGAAATTGACACAGGTGCATTAAAATAGATTGGAAATCATAATCTAGAGCTTATTAGATAATTTTTATCATTCACTTTATATATTAAATATCACTACTAATAATAGTATCATCAGTAATATTAATGAATATTATATCAATCACCTATTATTTTTCTCAAAATAATAGAACTCTAAAAACATAAATATTAATTTCAAAGTTATCAGAGTGGTACACCTTTGTTGCTCAAGTTTTTTTTTTCTTTTTGTACCAAGGATTGAATCCAGAGGCACATAACCACTGAGCCACATCTCCGGCTCTTTTACTTTTTATTTTGAGACAGGGTCTCACTAAGTTGCTTATGGCTTTGCTAAGTTGCTGAGGCTAGCCTTGAACTTGCAATCCTCCTGAGATTACAGGCATATGCCAAGATGCCTGTCTTAAACATAATCTTAATAGTATCAAGAAGAGCGAAAAATGACAATGGCCTGGGCCTTTTTTTAAATCAGGCCACCTTAGAGGTTGTAAATGGGAGAAGATTTAAGCCCATAACCTCAGGCTGCCATTTCACTTTCCATAGACAGGCTGAGGTGACTGCACAGGGCCTCAGCCCAAGAGGCCATTAGGAACTCAAGGGAGGAGATGGCTCTAGGTACCTTGAACTTGGTAGGGTGGTTGTCTGGGACGCTGTCTCTATTCAAGCAGCTACAGCAGCTCCCCATGGTGTCAGAGCAGCCAGCCCACCCTAGAGAAAAATATAAGAGATAAGCAGATCACCAGCAGCAACTCCAAAAAGCCCTGCTCTGGGGAACTTGGGCAGAATCACCTCACTGTGACCACCTGCTCTGTACAAGAGACTGTATGACATAAACCTCAAAAGAATTTACTCTCATTTCAGGGCTGGATAGACTTTGGATAAACATTAATTTGAGTTAGAATGTGTTAAGGGTTCATGCTAATGGTCGGGGGGCGGATGGAAAAAGCTTTTCAGAAGTACAACATTCAACCTGGACCTTAGGAAATATGCAGGATTTTGACCCATGGAAAGGTAGGGAAGAAAGATCTGGGCTGCAGAAAAAGTATTGATATGATCGGGGCCCAGAAGTGACCCTGTTTTGAGAGTTAGGGTGCCAACCCAAGGCCCTCTTTCAGATTCAGCAAAGACACTGTCACTTGGAAGTACTAGATACTTTGGCCTGTACCTTTCTCTTTTTTCCACCTCCTTTTTTACTTTACCCCTTCGACTTCATCCAAGTTCTTTCCTCCTTCACTACTATCCCAACATCCACCTGAAAATTTTCTTGTGGGTGTTTTCTTCAAATAAATTGTGACATTACAATCATAAAGACACATTTGAAAAACTTAAGGTTTTAAATAACACAATTTTTATAACCTTGATTGAATATTTCTCCATTTAAAAACATTCTGGGGCTATAGTTCAGTGGTAGTGTGTGCTTTGTCTGCACTAGGACCCAGGGTCCATCCCCAACACTGCAAAACAGAAACAAAATGCTGGCTTTGCTCCCCACTGACCAAAGGGGAGACCAGAGGCCTTACTATTTAGCTTTTCCCTCCAGGATTCTGGCACTTGGATAATATATCATAACAGTGAGGCCTATTCTAGGATGGAGAGGATACCACCAGGTTTGAGTGACCTAAGGAAATAAGAAACCCAGGGACCAATTCTAACTAGAAGTTTCAAGAGGTTGCAATTTGCTGCAAGAATGAGCTGACTGGATCAACTATCCTTCTAAAACTGCAGGATGTACCAAGACTTGAACAACCCAATGATCTGTACTCTCTATTCCTCCCAACTTGGGAAACTCCAGGAAACTGACTTCCATATGCAGCTCTTACCTCACCCAGGCCATTGGGGAGCTGACCATGGGAGGGGCATGGGGAAGGATTCCCACTTTATTCCCCCTGTCCTTGGTGGGGTATCATGGCAAACAGCCTGAAGAGAAGACACCTGGATCCCTCTGGGTCACACCTGGGGCTCACCTAGCATAGAAAACAGAGACCACAGAAAACAGAGATTAATGGAAAACTCCTATCCTCACCCCAACTGATAATGAAACTGAACTGTTATCATCCATTCCATCTGGACATCTGTTCTAGATCCCAATGGGACAGAAACACCTATAAAGAAAGATCATGGGACCACAAATTCTAAGCCCCATAGGCTCAGAGAGAGAGAGACTCCTCTGGCATCAATTTGAAGTCTGAGACACCCAAGATGTTCCAAGACCTCCAGGTTTATATTCCCCTGTCAGTGCTATTACAAGCAACACCCAAAACAAGGTCTTACTTTTGCAAAGAATTTTAACTCTACAAAGAACTTTCTTAAAAAGTACATTATAATGTACTAGAAATAGCACTGGCTTAAGATTCAGGAAACCAATATCATAGTCTGTTTTGTTGCTACCAAATATCTGGGAGACTATCAAGTCAATTCCCCACTACCCCATCCCCAACTCCTACTCGAGGCCTTAGTTTTTAGGGGAAACACTGGAAAACTGTGGCACTCATAGCTTCAATAACTTCTAGAGGTAAGTATGTAAGACCAACATCATTAAAATGGACAGTTTCCTCTTCCAGGACAAGCTTCTTCAATCGCACATTTTGAAGCTGGACTGAATTTCTGTTCCCCAAACTCTGAAAAGTCCAATTTTAACAAAAAATATTAACAAGCCAAATTTGAGAGCATCTGCACCCCAGGTAGAAAAGTCAACAAACTAAGACTCTGAAGACTCTCAAAATCCCCACCCTCCTGCTCTGGAAAAAGTATTTCCCAGGGACACAGTGCCCTGAATCTTTGCACAACTCCTAGGTAAAAGGACCCCCACCCTCTTAGTGTGGTTTATTGTCTGGGAGGAAGGAGGAAGGAGGAAGCAGGCCAAAGGAGATGTGCACAGCCTAAAGATAGATTCCTGGGAAAACATTGGAGCTTAAGCTATCAGAGGGAGTGAGGATTGTGTGTGAAACCAAGAACTACGGGGTGCAAGTGGGGGAAGGGTTGTACTTTTCCTGTCTCCATCTTTTCCATCAGATGATGTTTGGACATATCATTAGATAACCCATTGAGAGGAGATTCCATTGGGCGGGAAGGATGGGGGAGGGGGCTCCCATCTAGGATAGGTATGGAGTGGGGACTGGAGTTAGATGGGGTTATGGTGACTGAAATGCATGCATGCAAAGGAGGGACGTGGGCAAGAATTGGATTTGAGCATGGTGCAAAGAAAACAGAAGATATGAAGGCTCGATCTGAGAAATTTCAGGGAAGTGGAAGCATTTGGGGAACATTCAGAACGGTGGGTCTGTACGCGTTTCAGGGGATTCGTAAAGTGATCAAGGGGTTTTGAGGGCTACAGGAGATGCGAAGGTGTGACGGGGGAGGGGGAGAGGGTAGGGTCTGGGGAGTAAGCGGCAGATTTGGCAACAGGGTTGTCAAGGGGTTATTTCTAGGGACCCGCAAGGAATGGGAAGGTCGGGGCCGCGCACCGTGCCTGGATCCCCGCCCCCAGCCCTGGGGACTCCACCGCCCGCTTGTCCGGGGCTTCCTAGGGAGGGAGCGGAGACTGCGGCGCGGCGCGACGCGGCCTCAGTAGAGCCGCCTCGTCCCCGCCCCGCCGCGCCCCGACTCACATCGCCCCTCGGCCCGGGCGGCGCCGGGCCCCGCTCCCGGGTCCCGCTGCAGTAGCCGCCGCCCGCCCGGAGCTAAGGCCTCCCCGCCCCGCCCCGCGGCCGCGGGGTCGGAGGTCACCAGCAGCACCAACGAGACGCTGCGGGCGGGCGGACCCGAGCGGGGGCGACCGGCGCACAGCCTAGAAGGTCCCTTTGGAGGACTTTGCAGTCGGGAACAGGGAGCATGCGCAGACGCCAGAGGGCGCTCCCGGTCAGCGGCTGGGAACCCTGGCGGGAGCGGGGCGGGGCCTGAAGCGGAGACGGGGCTGAGGAGGCAAAAAAGATAGGGGAGAGTGTCCCAGGGAAAAAAAGGGAGAGAGCGGGACCCTAGAGGGCTGAGGAGAGGAAAAACGGCGGGAGGACCAACGGGGACAAGAAGACGGGAACAGGAGGGAAGCACACCGAGAGGGGTAGGGTTGGGGCCAGAGGGGAGGTCTGAGGGGACCTGGGACCTTCCGGGGGGCAGAGGCTGCAGACTCCGCTGTGCGCTTTCTTTCTCCGCGCGGCTAAGAACCTGGGCCGAGTCCCGGCGCAAAGCCCACGCTTGGCGAGGGCAGGGCAGCCTGCTCTGTCTCCACCCTGAGATCCCATGAATGCTCTTCTTAAGTCCCCCTCCCCGCGGCGCCCCTCTCCACCAGCCGGACCGGGCGGGCGGGCGAGGACCGCTAGGGAAGCGGCGGAGGAAGGGCCGCACCTACCCCGCGGGCAGAGGCGGGGGGCGGGGCCATGGGAGGGTCCGACGGCGGGTCGGTCCAGAACAGCGCGGACACCTGCGGGAAGCTGTGGTGAGGCCCCGGCGGAGTCCCGGTCCCCTTCCCTAGGCTACCAGCCGGACAAGGAACCAGAGCAGACTTGGAAACCACACCACCCCATATCCCCTCTCTGCGGGTGGGCCCGCAGAAAAACTTTGGGATCTATTAAGAGGGCACTTGGCGGCACCGGACACTCCCCGCCCCTTTCCCCCCAACTGTCCGGGGAAACCCCTTCCCTCCTGCTCGCCAATCCCTAGAGCCTGTCGGACTCTGCCCTTCTAGGCAGGCGTGGGTTGGGGATTTCTATACTCCCTGAGCATGGTTCCACCTGCAGGGAGGCGCGAGAGACGGTTCAACCCTGTCCCTCATCTGGGGAGAGGAGGGAGGGGAAATATGGCATGTTAGTAAGGTGGGGTCCAGTGCTAGGTGGAGGTAAGTTAGGCTGCTCTGGGTAGAGGTGGGGGAAGAGTGAGAGACAAAGATCTGAGCGTTGTTTCTAAATTCGGACAATTCCGTGCTAACTTCAGTTATTAGCTAACCTAGAAGAAAGTGCAAATCCCCTTCTGGGGTCCCATATGTCCCCCTTCTTGCTGTCTAGAGCAGGGTCAGTGCTGTTAGGGGAAGTTGCTACTCCTGGCTCCCAGTTTGAATAGTCCATCCTGGCTGTCTTCCACAGGAAACCTGCCTGACCTGAGGACAGAACAGGAAGGAAGCAGGTGGGTGTGGAACCAGAAAGAAGGGAAGGGTGGCACAGGACATTTGAAACAGGGCTGAGGAGGATTCAGGCCTGGAAAGCACTGATAACTGTTATGGTCCAAACCTGGGCCCAACTCCAAAGTCATGTCTTAAAAGAGGCCAGAGATTTAATATTTACCCCCCTATTCCCAGCTGCTGTTAGACTCCATCCAGCTCTGAGGCCACCTCCTCCTAAAGCTTTCTTTAGCTTTCTAGTGTGACCTTGGACATATTAAAGTTTGTTTCAGCTGCAAAATGGGACAAAAGAAACTTTTATAGGATTATTGTGGGGATGGACTATATTATGTAAAATCCTAAAATTGTCCCTGGCACAGAATAAACAAAAAAATTGGCTATGGTAATCCTCCCCACCACCAGCTCCACTGAACTCAGGGGCACTTTACCACTGAGCTACGTCCCTACCCCTTTTTTTATTTTGAGACAGGGTCTTACTAAGTTGCCAAGGTTGGCCTCGAACTTGTGGTTCTCCTGCTTTAGCCTTCTGAATAGCTGGGATCACAGCCTGTACCACTGCACACTGGCTGCTGTGGTAATGGTAATTTTTTTCCCCCAGTGTGTGTGATGTGCCCAGCGTTCCAGTCCCATTCGGTCTGGTCTCACCACTAGCCTATGAATTCTTTGAAGGCAGGGCCCATCTCTATTATACTTCAGTAGTTTCTTTTCACCATCAAGATACTGCAGTCACATCAGGACTTGCTAAGGAAGTCTAAAGAAATGTATTAAGATTATCCAATGAAATTGCTGCCATAGAGGCTGAGGATGTAGCTCAGTGGTAGAGCACTTGCCTAGCATGGGCAAGGCCCTGGATTCAATTTCCAGCACTGCAAAAGAAAAATAAAGAAAACAAGAAATAAATAGCTGCTATAAATAAAAGCACAACGTTTTCCTCTGTCCTACAGAGCTTATAGACTAGATGAGCTGAGAGGGACATGGGTTTATGGAGAAATGGGGAGCATTCGGTTGTTGTGGGGTGCCCATGGGCTCACCAAAAAAGCAAAATGCCCTCTCCTCCCACTGTGGGACTCCTTTTCCCTTCCACCCAATCTTGGGAGACTCCAGAATTTGAACTTCAGAAACTCAAGCTGAAAGGCCTCGCCTTGAGATCTGGCTCTGACACTTAACTAGCTGTTTGACCTTGGGTATACCATTCATGTTCACTGATCCTCTGCTTGGCCATATATAAAATGGGGACAACAATACCACCTAAGTCACCTGGTTGTTGGCAAGATTGAATGAGATAATGCCTGTAAGCACTCAGCACTGCCTAGCATACTATAAGGGCCCAATGAATGGAGGTGGCTTTTATTGTTTTGGGGTAGATCTTGCCACCAGTGTCAATGCTGAACTCTGGCTGGCTCCACCAAGAGGACAGTCCCATCTCCAGGGAGTTAGTTCCTTCGGCCAACTCAGATGACTCAGGCCACCTGCCAGAAGAGGACCCTGAGGATACCTCTGCTCAGGTAGTAAGAGTATTGCCCTTCCTGAGACCAACATGCTCTCTGTCCTTTGGACCTCCTCCCTTCCCATCAAGTGGGAGGCAGTTTCTCTTGTGGCTAACTTCTTGTGGCCCTTTTCCCTCTTCAGGAATTCCTTTCTCTACAGCCCCTCAGGATGTGGATAAACTCATTCCCATGAATATATACTACTTCTCCTAGGGCTTGGGTAGTCAAAGCCAACCTGAGGGCTTTGGCCTCAAGGAATAAAGCGGGTAGCTTCAAGTACAAGAAGGGAAGCTTTTGGGGGACTCCATAAAGACAGATTACAGATGCAGGAGTGACCTGTGTCCTTGTGCATTGAGGATCTGGAAGGAATATCCTAGTGTAAGGGGTTTGCTTAGAAGCTGCTCTAGGTTGGAGGAGATGGCATTGAGGAGGAAGAAAGGGGGAAAGGAAGAATAAGACCTAGCTCCACTCTCCTCTTTTGCTGTCTTCCCTCAGGGTCCTGCACTCCTGAGCTTGGGCATACCTCATCAGGACACCAATCATGTCCCCAACTGGCCTGGGCTTCAGACCCTCCTGCAGCAGCTCCCTCCACAGGACAGTGATGTGAGTTTTCTTTCTCCACCTCCCCTTCTGTTTGCCTCTCTCCTTTTTTCTCTCCCCCTTTACTTGCTGTGGGAAGTAAAGCTCTTCTACTATGGCGGGGGGTAGAGGGAATCATTCCCCTGCAGCCTGAGTTTCCCATCTACATAATGGGTGCAATAACATCTGCCATGTCTTCCACAATGCTTAGTTCAAAAGCAAATGAGAAAATGGACATGAACAATTTTTGAAACCAATAATGGAATGTACAAATGTAGAGAGCATGGTGGTTTAGTATTTATTGAGGTCCTACATGTGCCCAGCTTAAAGGCTTACAGTTCAATTGGGAGGCAAGACAGAAGCATATGAAATAGAGAAAACACAAGAACAGGAAATGATGCCGAGCTGTAGCTTTTTGGGAGCAAGGACCTAGATATGTGGTGACAGGGTATGGGGCTGTCAGGCCCCGAGTTATTACCTTTCTGGGAGAGAACAGGGTGAGACAGTGGTAGACTTTCTTAATCGTTTTCCCCTCTTTTCAGTGCATCTATGCTATTTCCTGAGGTTCTAGCTCTATCATACCCAGCAACTAAGCCTTCTAGAATTCTCTAGTTGAACCTTAGTCCTGCCTGCTGGGGCTGTCCCAGTCATAGTAGAGGCCTGTTTCTGTAGGAACGTTACTGCCTGGCCCTTGGGGAGGATGAACTGGCTGAGTTGCGGCTCTTCTGTGTCCAGCGGAAGCAGAAGGCCCTAGGACAAGGGGTGGCCCACCTGGTTAACTCCCCAGCTTGAAGGACACACCTGTGAGAAGGTATGGAGTTCCCCTTCCCCAATCCTTTTCCTTTCTCCACTCCTTGCCCTCTCACTTCTACAGAAGGGGCTAGCTTCTGGGACTCTGAGGAGACAGGGCTTAGGGATGGGCAATTTAGCACCTTAGGGACAAAGGGAAACCAAGTCTGGGAGTTCTTGGTGGAGACTGCAGAGGGGGTGGGCCTGCCAGGGCATAAAACAAGTTAGGTTGGGATTGCAATGGAAGCCAGAAGGAAAGCTGGAAGGTTGGTTCAGACTGTGACTGTGACCTGCCCAGTGTCCCCACCCGGCAGTGCAGGGAGCAGCTGAAGCCTGGAGAGTACAGCGTGTTTGCAGCCCCAGCAGGCGAGCCGTGCTGCTGGCACCGGCCTTGCTTCACTTGCCAGGCCTGTGGCCAGGCCCTGGTAAACCTCATCTACTTCTACCATGATGGGCATCTCTACTGTGGTCGTCATCATGCTGAGTTGCTGCGGCCACGATGCCCAGCTTGTGACCAGGTATAACACTGAGGGGAGGGAGAGGAGGGGGATACTGCCCAAAGCCCAAAATAACTGGATGTAAGGAGACAGATATTCTATGGGCTGTAGCCTGACCCAGTATTGCAGGGTGGGGTAGGGAGAACTAGGAACCAGCCAGACCATCCAACGGGGGTTTTCACTTGAGCTCTGGTCATGTGAAACCCACTGCCTTTATCTGTGCCCCCCCCCAATCACAAGCAGAGTCCCTCAAAATTTTTGGACTCAAGAGATTTCTCTGGAGCAGGGAATGAATATTTTGGATATTCATCTCAGCGTGTGTGATGCTCAATGCTATGCTTAATCATGCTAGAAAGACCCTTAATGTCAGCATAAGAGGCAAGGCCCAGCCCTGGGTTGGGAGTCCAGGAGCCCAGGGTTGAACTTCTGACTCTGCCACCTGCTAGCTGGGGATCCTGGCTAAGCCAATCAGTCCACACGCGTCTAAGAGTGACGAAGTACATCAAATGGAAATGTCTGTGGACGTGCTTTAGCGTTAACTAGGTATAAGGCGTGGTTATTGGATGAATTAATGGGTGAATGAATGAATGGACTATTTCCCTCTCCCTCTCCCTCTCCCAGTTGATCTTCTCCCGGCGCTGCACAGAGGCAGAGGGACGGCGCTGGCACGAGAATCACTTCTGCTGCCAGGGCTGCGCTGGGCCCCTCCGCGGGGGACATTATGCCCTGCCGGGGGGCAGCCCCTACTGCCCCAGTTGCTTTGAGAGCCGCTACTCAGATGCGGGCTTGAGCCTGGCGGGGACACTGGAAGGGCGGGCGTCCCTTGGTAAGGGAAGAGTAGGTGCAGATCAATGCGGGAGGGAGTGGTGGCTTGGGCTGGGTAGAGGAGGGGGTTCTCCCGGGCGGGACCCTCGCCCCAGTTCCACGCCGTCCCATTCCTCCAGCAGCGCCCCCGTCCTCCCACCGCAACCCCCAGACCCGAGCTTCGGGGCCCGCAGCTCTCACCGCGCGTCCCTGGCCGGAGCGCTCCAAGGGCCTCCCGAACCCACCCTGCGCCGCGGTCGGGGCTGCGGCGCCGGACTCGCTCCCGGGCGGGGGACGCGGCCGCCGGCTGGTGAACGGAGCAGGGAGAGGCGGGGGCCCCTGGGGAGGACTCACGGCGGCGGCTGCGCGCACGGCCCGGGGCGGGGCAGGAGGCTGCGCCCAACCTCGCTAGCTTCAGTGGGTCCCTGTGCCAGGCTTGTGCAGAGCACTTCGGGATCTGAGAAGAGCCTTTCTGACCCGGTCCGGAACAGGGGAGGGAAGTCCAGACCCAACTGAAAGAAAGGACCACGTCTCGTTAAACGCCGTGTTCACCTCCCGGGCAGAATTTCCCGCCGCAACCTCCAGCTCCAGCCTGGAAACCCAGAGTGGGCGGGAGCTAGAACGCCTGGAGACGCCCCGTGATCCCAAGGAGGACGCGTCCTGCCCATGTCCCACCTGCTCCTCTTCCTCTGATTCGGAACCCGAAGGCTTTTTCTTAGGCCAGCGTCTTCCGCGGCTCAGGAAGACCCTCGGAAGCTTCCAGGCAGAGGATAGCGACACCTCCAGGAAGCATTGCACCATTTGCTAGTGGCGCAGCCGAGATTGGGGTTTGAAGGGGCGGCATCCTTAACGCGGGAGAACAAGGCTCTCTTCCCTCTATAAATCCTAGGCTGAATTTAATCAGGGATCGCTGCCTGAGTGAGGCAGCGAGGTGACAAACTTGGAGTGCATCTCTTCAACACTACACTTTTCTGACTTTTCGTAGAGATTTTCTTGGGAAATCCCATTCCTCAAAGCTACGCCTTCCCTCCTAAACTAGCCCTCATCCCCAGCACCCTCATCCTGAGCCATTGAAATGATAATTTAGCACGTGTGGTGATGACTGACTGCGGAGCCGGAAGTCTGGTGGGACAAGACGGAGGGCACGGTAGAGTTGAGCCGTGTACTCCCCACCTCCCGGCGCTAGTGGAAGCGCAGCCGCAGAGTGGCCATCGGCGGTTAGAGGCAAGCTAGAGCGACAGCGCCCTCTACCTGTGGGCGGAAGCGCCAGGCCGGAAGTTGCGTGTGGCGGACGCCTGTACGGTTTGTCTTCCAAGTGCAGTGCCGTCATCGAAAGTATTAATGGCTTCCAGCGGCGTTACGGTGAGCGCTGCCGGGTCGGCAAATGAAGCCCCTGAAATTCCGGACAACGTAGGAGACTGGCTTCGGGGAGTCTACCGCTTTGCCACCGATAGGAATGATTTCCGGAGGTAACTGAGCCCGGAGAGCTTGGTCCCTCTAGCCCGTGTACACCTGAATTTCCCCCTCTCGGCGAGGCTGGCGTCCGGTTTTGTACGTTGCCAACGTAGTAGCGCTGAGTACCTCTGAATGTGCTTTGCTGAGGTTCTTAACCGGGAGGATTCCCATGTGGGAAAATCGGTATATCACGTGGCTAGTACGCCCTGACGAGGGGAACGGGGAGCAGGTGGCGTCCACACACTAACAGGCTTTTCAGCCCTGGTCGAGTGCCTAATTGGCCTTTGCAATTGATCTTGCTCTTTAGGAACAGAGGCGAATCCTAGGTTCTCATGTGGGTATTGGGCAACGATACCATGTAATAACCATTTATCAATGCATCAGGAAATGATTAGCTTTTTACATATATATATATATATATATATATATATATATATATATATACTGGGGATTGAACTCAGGGGCACTCGATCACTGAGTTACTTAGCACCTCGCCATTGCTGAGGTTGCTGAGGCTGGCTTTGAACTGGCGATCCTCCTTGTCTCTGCCCAGCCCCCACCGCTCTGCCTCACCAGCCGCTGGGATTACTGGAGTGCGCCACCGCGCCCTGCTTCTTATTATATTTTATTTTGTTAGCCGTATAGGTGACTCAATGACCACAGGGTTAATGAAATATATTCTCTATCCAGGAACTTGATCCTGAACTTGGGACTCTTTGCTGCGGGAGTTTGGCTGGCCAGGAACTTGAGTGACATTGACCTAATGGCACCTCAGCCAGGGGTTTAGCCAAGTAGGTGAGCACTTAACCACCCCTCTGCCTATCTTAGAAGTTCCAGAGGTTAGGAGAAGCAATAATTTACATCACCTCTTCATGAAATGTAGTAAAGAATCTTGATGTAAAATCCTTGGCTTTTCTAAATCTTTCTTAACTGGTTTTCTATTTCTAATGCCACCTGTTGTCCTATGATCCTACTGCAGATAAATGGAATTCCTGTGCTGCACCCAAACCTTCCAAAAACAGCGTACAATCTGTGACTGGTACAAGTTTGCCCTGATGGTAGCTGAAGTTGGATTCAGAGGGCACCTTCACCTTCCTCTTGCCTTGGTGAATTCCACTCTATGGTCAACATTCAGCCTCTGCCAAAGTGTTGCCTCTGTTCTGTAAAATTCTGTACATAGTTCCTAAGTTTCTGCAGGGGGTGATCTTTGCTCTTGTTGCAAGGAATAATGATGGTGTTATAACAAATATTTGAAATAAAGATCACACACAAAGATAGCCATTTTATTCTTTTAATAAGAAACTTCTGCTTACAAAAACAAGGTGTAAAAAGTCCAGATTTACAAAAATCATAAAAACATGATTTATATTTCACACTTGAAAAAGACAGGAACAAGCCCCAAACAGATTGCAATGGAGGTGGTTTGCCTCTTATTAAAAGAAGGGGAAAAAAAAAAAAACCTGTAACCACCCACTACACATAGATGCCAACATAACATGAAGCTTATTCTTGAGGAATTCTATTGTTGAACAGTATTGGGGAAGAAGCCATTTGGTGTTGCATAGCATTTTAGCGTACCAGGTGGGTTTTCCAGGCACCAGGGAGGCATCGTTGCTGGGATAGAATGAGGTTTGGTGGCATAAAGAGGGCAATGATGCATAGGTGGAGGAAGATATAAGTCAGCCTTGGCAGTGGGCACTAAAGTGAGACTGCTGAGGAAGCTGCTTCCTTTGCAAGTAAACAAATGTTTTAATTTGATCCTAATATTCTTAACACCACTGTCCAGGGACTTGGGTTCTTTGGAAATGGAATATATAAAGAACTGGCATGGAAAGACTCATAGGCATAGAAAAAGGTGAAGATACGGACAGGTTCACCATAATAATTTTTTTCTAGTCAATTTATTAGGCATTTTAGAAAACACTGCTTTTATGTGCCAAGACGCATAAACCCACTGCTGTGGGTTTAAAGGGCTTTAGGTGGATCAGTACAACTGCACCACTGTGGCTTGTTACACCTGATAGATGCGTTGTCTTTAGCAATTTGTTCATTCAATTCTTTTTTTTTTTTTTTAACTCAAGTCGACCCTGCTGGTATAAATTTCATTAAGAAAGTTATTTAAGGGCTGGTGATGTAGTGACAGAGCAAGTACTTTGCATGTACTAGACTCTGGGTTTGATCCCAGCACCAAAAGAAAAAATAATAATAAAAAGAAAGCTGCTTGAGAATTAGAAAGCACCATTCTCGTGAATATTCATCAGATAAGTCTCATCTGATAAGAGGAATGAACTATGAGCTTGTGGGAATTCAGGTCTGGGACTGGCTTAATATGAAACCAAGACCTTGTACAGTACACTGGGATTAGAGATCCTCTGAGAGGTTTATATCTTAACTGATTATCAAGATGAAGAGTGGTCACATATGAGAGCGAGGCGTAGGTTTGAAGCCATTACCTCCAGGAGATCAGGAGGAAAATTTTAAGCTCTAACAGATGCTAAACCCCATTAGACCTAAATCAGACTACTGCAACAACAAAGAACACCACAACCTCCTTTATAGGAATGAAACTGAGACTCTTAAAGTCTGCTTCCTGATCTTCTCATAATTGTTCATTCTATTTGATAAAAATTTCCGAAGTTGAGTTGGGTGCTGTGGTCAGGCCCCATAATCCCAGGAACTTAACAGGCTGAGGCAAGAGGATTGAAACAGCAAGATTCTTGTTTCAGAAAATAAAAAGGGTGAGGAATATAGCTTAGTGGTAAAGCATCCCTGGGTTCAATCCCTAGTGCCAAAAGTAAATTGTTTCCAAAGTTGAAAATCAACATGGAGAGATGGCAACTTGCAGAAACATAATTCAAAATTCACTCAAAATTTCATATTTAATTTCAAGTAATTGTGTTTACTGTTGGTTGGTTTTTAAAGCCACAATGCTGGTTGGGTAAGGTTTCATGTAAACTGGCTTAGTTATGAATTTAGTAAATAAAACTATCAAGTCTACAATTTCTAAAGATTTTTGATGGAATTTCATTAATTCTGTGAATGAAAGTATTAGCTTTCACCATTGCTAATACAACATTCTCTCCAAGGGAAGTCAGTTTTAGATCCAGTTACATTTGTCAGTCCTTGACTAGGTTTTTGTTTTGTTTTTTGGGTTTTTGTTTGTTTTTTTGGTGCTAGGGATCAAACACAGGGCCTCAGCATGTGCTTTACCCCTGAGCTAGATGCCCATAGCTAGCTGGATTTAAATGAAACATGCCAGCATAAATATGGAACAAATCCACAAAAATGACTGCTTCAGTGCTATAGTAACTCTGGTATAACTAGAGCAGTGTGTGAGCTGAACAAGTACATAGTGACTAAAGTCATACCCTAGACCTAGGAAATGGTTGCTAAAAATGTTAGATATAAACTAAACGCATAGTCCTCTTTTAGAAGGTGTTTTTCAGCTTTAGTGCTGACTAAAAAAGAATCTAAGCCACCAGAGAGATGCATATGTGCCTGGTGAAAACCTAAGTGGCCATGGGAAGTTTTACCCCAAAGGCACAGCTCTTCACCTAATTAGTGCAGTAACTAGGCTAAGGAACCTGGTTATCAAGTGTGCTTGGAATGGTGAGCTTTTAAAAAATCCTTTGGTGTGAAGTCTAGTGAGCTCAGGGGAAACCTTAAGATTGGATGGAATCAAAAGAAACAGGCTTAGAACAGCCCTGCAGTAAGTGGACTCAGCTCACTCCTACAGCCATTCAGCACCACCTTCCATATCCACTCACCATCCCAGTCAACATTTGCCTGGGAAAGGGTGTGGGGACCCAGGTGGAGGCTTCTCTTTTGCATCATTCCCTTTGCATATTACACAGTGCACTGGTTTGTCTTAGAATTCACATATAGGGGATTGTTTTCTACACTGCTTCTTGCTATTTTGTGCAAAAGAACTTCAGAACCAATGGAGGTACCACTTCAGGAAGAACCACTTTTGTTTGACTTCTACCACAAGTTGCCCAGCACAAATCATTATTTTGATAAAGACTGAAAGGCCTTTTCTGATCATTTGTGCTCTCCCAACCAGCTGGAAAAGCAACCCTTCCACTTATAAGCTTTAACCCCCAATAGGGATATAGAACACATTTAGGAAGGGGTAGTCTTCCAGCCTGCTTTGCAAAGGCCAGAGTTAATGTATGGAACATACAAGGGTATACAGCAGGCCTGGAAAGAGCCATTTGATGAATAATCACAAATAGGAACAACTTGGACATTACAATAAAATTTCAGAACTTGCTGGTAAGAATGATTTGCATTTACACACAAGAGATGAAATGCTTTCAACACTACATAGACCCATTTGCCACTTGAAATGATAATAAG